GAGGGATGTTTTGAAGCTGTTCTTCTGGTTCCCTGTCCACTAATAGCAATGTTTCTAGGAATTATCGCTTGAAAGATACAAGAGGCAGAGGAGAAAAAGTACTTTTTGTGTGGAATTTCTTTCCAGTCTCCCCATTTCCCTTTAAAAAAATAATCACACAAATTGTGCAGTCAGAAACACAATATTGCCTTGTTTACCAGTTTGTTTTTTAAAAAGTAATGTTTTAAATTACTTCCCCAAGTGAATTACTTCCTTCTTCTACCCAAAAAGAGTAGAACTGACAAAAAATGGCCAGTGTAGTTTTTGGGACACTTCATCTGCGTGTCTCCAAGGGTCTGTGGCTGTTGGAGGCGATAGTGATCTCAATCTCTATTTTTCTTCTTTAGGATCTGTTTTCCAAAACAATAATTAATTAGTGTTTAGGAAAATTAAAAACAAGATAAAACAAAAACCAATCACCTATTTCTGATTATAGCTCCACTAACAGGACCCACCTCTCTTGTGTCATTGCAGTAGCTGTCAGCAGAATCAAGTTTGAAGTGACCTTATACATGTGATGCTCTGAACCAGACTTACTCCCCGGTGGTTAGATGAGAAAGCACTGCTAAGCTCAACATTTATGGTCCTTGCTTATCTGTTAGGATGAAGGATTAAATTTTATTTTAATTAATTGGCCCTCTGTATTCATTCAATGGACAATTTTTCATGAGGTATTTGCCATTTTATAAAGGCATTTTATAAAATTCTAGGGATGAAAATACAAAGCAAGGACGGTCTTTGCATGAAACAAAAGGTCAGTGGGAATGAAGACGTACAGATGATTTCCGTACAGTGAGAACCATGCTTACTTAGGCACATACACATATTACAGACAGTGAGAGGTTTCAAGAGAAATGCTGCATGAAGTAGCTCAAAGGCCTGAGTAAGGATCCCAGAGGAGGGGCTCTTTGAGCAGCGATTTGCAGAATGCATAGAAGAAAGAGGAGTCATTCCAGGCAGAGGAAAATTGTAACAGATAGCATGGTTTGTTCAAAGAACAATAAGTAAGCTCAACATCACGAAACAACTGTGTAAGAGTGGAGAATGGAGAGACAGAAGACTGTAAAGAAGGGAGGGGCCAGATCTTCGGAAATACCGTGCTGTGAATCGGGTCTGCAGCCTGTCTTTTGTTTTTGGACAGTCCACAAGCTAAGAATAGTTTCTCTATGTTTAAATAGTAGGATAAAAGTCAAAGGAAGAAGAGTATTTTATGTCACATGAAATTACATGAAATCAAGTTTCAGCGCACATTAAAATAAAGTTTTATCGGAACATAGCCTTCTGTTTACAGATTGTCTGTGGTTACTTTCACATCAGGATGGCAGAAAGGAGTAGTTGTGACAGAGACCTTATGGCCTGCAAAACCTGAAATATTTACTATTCCCTTCCAGAAAAAAATTTGCTGATCTTCATTGTAGATCAAAGTCTTTCAAAGTTTATGCTGTAAGAGAAAAACAGAAGAAAAAGAAAAAGCGTGGATGAGGTTTTAAGAAGAAAGTGTCTTACCAAGAGCTGTCTTGTAAACTCTTTCTGGGTTTTTGGGTGTATTTTGAAAGTATTTTGAAAGTAGCGTGACTGCAGTCAAGACCAATGTCCAGGTGAACTATGCCATCAGCTGATGAGCAGGTCAAGATATTTTTGGTTCTTTGCTGTGCTTGAGAGATGGAAAAGACATAAAGCATACACTAACCTTGGAAGAGATAGACATTCACACAGAATAAAGTACTCACCGATGGCAAGAAAACAACTCTATCTCTTTTGAGATAGGAAATAATGAGCCTCACACTGGAAGATTCAAGTTATAAATTATTTGATAAAAATAAATTCACCTGCGGTCCAAGAAGTAAATGGATGGAAGAACTCTTTTTAGTCCCTTTCCGGAGGTGGTTTTTAGTGGTTGATTTCAGGAGACTTATTTTGACCTTCCTCTCTCTGTTTTGTAATTTGGTCAAATCCTTATAATAATATTTTTGATCAAGTTTTTTTTTGTAATGTCCACCTACACCATCAGTGATGCAGGTTGTGTGTGGTTACTTCTCCCAGAGGCATTCCCTGCCTTTTCCTTGCTCTGCTCTGGATTGAGGGGACTGATCCCTGCCAAGTACACGACGGGGCTCCTTAACCTCTGTCTTCCTACTTCTGGCCACTGTAGGGCAGCAGTGGGAAACCGAGGGTTGGGAGGAAGGCAGAAACCAGAATAGCCTCCCCTCTGACTACTTTGGGCAGCATTTTCAGCAGTGGTTGCATCTCCTTGGTGGTTGCAGCTTCTCCTGTTGTTCTAGTCCTAAAACCTTGTCTCCCAGACTCTGATAACTCCATCCCTCTCTTCTTTGGTCCCCCCAGCATAGGGAGCAAAGGCTTGTTGCTGTGGTTAATCTACTGCTGTGTTTAACTCCTAACGTGTCACACTGACTCCTGTTGGTTTTTGTGCTCTGCCGTCACTTTATTGACTGCTCTTTTAATGCTTTCATTTTTAATTGCGGTAAAATTTTCACAACAGACAGTTTATTACTTCGACCATTGCTAATTCTATGATTCACTGTATCGTAAGTCAACCTTTCAACTGTAAGATTCAGTGGCATAGAATATATTCACAATGTTATGTATCCATATCACTATCCATTTCCAAAACTTTTCCATCATCCAGAACAAATACACTGTAACTATTAAGCAATAACCCCCTCATCCCCTCTCCCCAGCCCTGGTCACCTCTGTCCTCTGCCATCACGTCTGTCACTGGTTCTCCGTATTCGATCTCGCCCTCAAAACTCCCTGCAGTGGGCTGTGTCTTCTTGCCTGTGCCTTGCCCAGTACACACTGTGAGTCCACTCTAAGAGGGTTTCCTTACACCCAGCCAGGCAAGTGTGCAGGATACCAGACTGGGACTGGAGCTTTGGATGAGTTCATTTTATCCCATGAAACATTTTTTGTAAAACTTCTTCATCATGGTCCAAAACAAACAAAAAACTAATATGCTTGTGTAAAAATCTATTGATTTGGAGGCTATTAACCCCCTTTCTCTTTTTTCTGATGTCTTCAACTTTTCTCTTTGTATTCTCGGGATTTTTTGACAGTTGATAATGAATCAAAAATAAGTGACTATTTCTATAGAACAGCAGTCCAATTCTCAGGTAGGAATCATGGTATAAAATTCCACCAATACCACTGTTTGATCGTTCGCAATCTCTCTTCTTTGAAAGACTTTATTTTTCTTTGAGCACTTCTGTACTTCTCCTTTTTTCGTCTATTAGAAAATACAATTTAACTGAGTAAATTTTAAAGATCTTATTGACTTTAATGATTCGTCAGGCAGCATCTCATTTAGCAAATAGAAAAGAGCTCCCTCAGAGGAGCTGTCTGGAAGGCTTTTGTAGGCAGAAGGAAGCAGGGACAGGGAGAGAGTGGATTACTTCATTTTTCTTGAGGGATCGAAGGTTTCGGTTATGCAGATGACCTCACTAGTGCTGGCCAGGAAATTCTAGACTGACCCATTAAGATTACATTCCTAGGGGAGGTTGAAACTGTAATTAGGTTACTTGTTAACTCTCAATTTGTATGGTGATGTGGACTTAGCATAAGTGACTCCAGTTTGAGCCTGTTGTCTCTTTTTGAATACATCCTAAATTCCTTTCCTTCCCTTCCCTGTAACTAGCTTTACCTACTTACAGAAAGGTTGACCCAGATGGAATTTTTTTAGTTTTCTTTTGTGTGGTTTGTACATTTAAATTTAAATCTTGGTGTAATTGATGTGTTTTTATAGAGTACTGTAGTGTTTGATTTTAATTGAGGCCATTTTGTTCACTAAAACTTCCTTGGATTCAAGTTCTACTTATTGGCAGATGTTTTTTTCACTGCTGTGTAGCACACATTCTTCAAATCATGTAGCAGAGACATTCTAAGGTCTAAAGGCAGAATTCCTTTCTCCATAAAATATTCAAACATTAATTAGCTGATCACTTGGAGCTCTTCCCCAAACCTCTTGCCCATCAAATTAGCAGTAATGTAAGGCTCACATTTTTTATGTTTCACATATTCTGACATGTTGATGCATAATGGAGACTGTTTGGTTTACAGAAAGAGAGGACTAGAGCCAGGGCAGAGGGGAGACAGAGGGAAAGAGAAGACAAAGAGTGAATACTAAATCTTTCATTTACTAAATTTGTGACCTTATATAAGTCACTTAGCTTCACAAATCCTGTTTCCCCAAGTGTACGTGGATACTCACCATCTCCACCTCCCATGCCTTGTAAGGAACAGGTTTGACCAGCCAGATTCTTGGACAATCACAGTACAGACTGAGCAAATGAGTGATGGAGAGAGATGAATGCTTTTCATTGAAGAGGTCTGTTTGAGAGCTGAGGAAAAGAGAAGAAAACATTCAGCAGGTAGAGGATGAGAAATTTTAAAAATGACTTTGGAGATTTTTGTGAGAGAGATTGAGAGCAGATACAATTTGTCTTGGATGACAAATATGACTTTTGGAGAAAAGATAGTGAAAAAGATTTTAAGTGTTTTTCTTTTCTGTGCATAACCTTCCTTGGGCATTTTTCAAAGAATCTGCAATGAATATACAAATTACCTCTCCATTACTTTTGATTTTCAGGTTGGTATTACCTTGGCCATGACACCATGCTATGTCTGGACCACAGGGCTGAGCGGATTTTTAAGCAGTTACATATGAAAAGAGGTGCAGAAGTAAGGGAAGAAAAGGGTGTTGAAGATCATATTTTCATTTTACCCTCATACAACCCAGAAAGACAGTAACATTATCCCTACAGATAACTCAGTAATGCCTTGGAGACCTGGGAATCTAACCCAGGTCTGACTGGCTCCATTAGACTTTGCTTTGTGAAATGGAATATTGGTCAGCGTCATTCATTATGCAAAGCTGTTGACTAAACATGGCATTATGCTTAACGTGATTTTTATCCTAAATCATAATCACATCATAAAATATAATGCAAGCTTTGAATTGTATAATACAAAATGGAACTTCAAAGATAGTTCAAGATGTGAGAGATGAAAATTTGATCTATGCCATCTATGCCAGATAAAGTGGAGACTGTTGAGGGCCAAGGGAGAGTATACGTTGGTTCCCATTGCAGATGTAGTGAGGGATGGTTGTAGAAGCAGCATCCGGGCAACTGTCTTATGTATAGGTTTTGATTGTAAAACAAAAAGGATAGAAGTATATGAGAAGTTGAGCAGGCTTCCCAGTGTACCAGAAGGGAGCAGCGATCGTTTCCTCTACTGCTGCCACTGAACTAAGATGCTCAGGAATTAAACAGAAATGAAAGGGAAAACACTTTCTATTTCGTGATGCTCTGAAAAGCTTCTTTTTGATGACGCTTCACATTGTAAGTGAGTGAATTTTGCTCATTATTGTCTGGGGCTCAGCTGAGCTGGGAGAGAGAGCACCGAGCGGCCAGGCGTCAAGAGTAGCTGATTAAAGCAGCACAACCGAAAAAGCAAGACGTGAAGCCCTGGAAACTGCGATGGTGTAAGCGGGGGTCCAAACCCAGACAAAGCCCCGAGTTCCCCTCTTCCTTTTCCTCACACAGGTGGAGGGTCAGGTGGATCAGCGCAGATGTTGGGGCTGTGGGGGTCGTGTCTCCCTGCTGAGGGAGCCCCAAATCAAACGCTCTGGCAGTTTTATGGATCCAGGGTTGGGGAGAGAGCAAGGAGGAAGGGCTACGAGTGGAAGAATACTGGGTCCTGAGTCAGAGTGGAGTCTTGGAAGTTTCCTGTACCTTCCCCCACAAGGAGGTCTCGGCGGAGGCACCTGACAAAGAAAGACCTCTGCCCAAGGCCTCAGATCAAGAAACCCAGGCATGAAATCGCCTGGGTCAAGACTGTCAATCTGGGAAAGAGCGTGTCCCACCTGGTTGGGGGAGGGGGAGGGGTGGCGGAGTCCCTGACAGCAGCTCCTTCCAGACTGTGCACCGACTGTCGTGGGGAGAGCAGCCTTCCCCTCCTGGCCTGCCAGGGAAAGCCTTCGGAATAGCCTATGATAACTTTTAAGCAGGAGCCGGATTCTCTAATTATCTTTCCTGGTGAACTTTATGAAAACTCTAAATTTGCAGTGTACCAAATAAGCTTATAACTGTAAGGGGAAAATGTAAGCACCTTTCTATTCTTCTGCAAGGAAAAAAAAACAACAACACTGCTTTGGCTATTATTGCTTTTTTTTCTTGAAACACAATTGTCAAAACACCTGCAGTCAGCCACCCGGAAGCCGCTGGTTTTGCTACTGTCCTTATTTCTCTCCTCTGTTCCTCCTTTTTGTGGACTTTCAATGGGGAAAGTAATCATTTTAGAAAACTTGGCTTAAGATTCTGAATGTGCCTATGTGTAGGCACTTGCTGTATTAAAATGAGAAATTTATGTAAATTTCGTAAGTTATAATATTAATTTGGGTTGCATGAATTAAAAGTGGGAAATATGATTTGTTTTGGGGGACTGTTACAATTTTCAAATTGATTATTGGAGGCAGCATATTAACGTATCAAGTGTCGAGAGACTATTTCAGATTCCCTTTTGGGATAGCATCTATCCTATTCTGGATTCTTCAGTAGTGAATCTCTTCATAGAAGGTGTGGGTTTCATGGTTTCGTTTGCAAGACACAAAATGTCCTGGTCCAAATTAGGAGTATCTGATATATTCGATTTTTCATTTTTCCATAACCATTGTCATTTCTGACATTTTTATTCTTAGGGTAGAATAGTTTGTTGTTGTTACTGTTTTTTAATTTGACCTTGACATGAGTGAGAGTTTTTGGAAACTGGCAAAGTTCTTATCTTTCTTCTCCTTCTGCTGAACCCACTTTTCAGAGGTATGTTTATCTTTTTTTTCTTCCCTTCCCTTAATTTTGGAAGGATAGGAGGAATGTGTAGATGAAGAGAAGTCCCTAGGATCAAGAATAAAGGCAGTAACAAGACAGACCTACACTCTTGGGGAATAGCCTGTCTTTGTCTTTCTAATTCCAACCACTGAAATCCACCTTTCATTTTCTATAAACTGTCTATTCTAGTATGAACACAGTGTGAAGGAATTTTGTGGATTGAACGTGTGCCGTGTTCGTGTACAGTATCTCTGGTTGTAAACATGATAAAATTATCAATGAAACTCCCTAATTTGATCCTGAAGTGAAGAGATGTTATCCAGTGAATCATTTGTGTTCATAGGAGGCAGCGTCGTAGCTAACAGAGCAGGAATGGGACCCAGATGTTTTCTGAAAAGTTGGTTGCACTGGAGGCAAAGAGCATTACCTAAAGTGGAGGCGGCCATATGGAAGTGAAGGTTGGAAACATCCCATTACAAGTCATATATCACTGAGCTGACAGCAAGGGTTTCAGCTTGTTTTTATTTAAATCATGAAAGCAGCTGCTCAGCTGTCTAGCTGTATTAAATTTAACCCCTTTTCCTGGCAATTGAATTCAGTAATTTATGCAGTTTTGATTGGACCACTGCATAAATATCATTTGGAAAGCTTTCACTTATTCGTGTCCCTTAAATTCACATCCAGATTCGTGATTGGCTAATTTTTCTCCTGAATAAGAATGTGTACAGATAATGCACCTGGCTGAGTCTATTAAGGCGAATCACAGAGGAATACTGTAATTTCAGCTTGGGCAGATAATTGCTATGGCAAAACATGGAGAAATGCCAGATAGTTTTTGAAATGATCATTTTATCTCTTGGTATCTTACTTATTTTCCTTTAGTTATTGTCTTTCCTTCTTTTTCTCTTAGGGACTTGCTCTTTCACTTCTCTATTCTATATGCATTTCCAATATTTCATTCTGCCTAACTCTTAATATTTTATGTTTGACTTGTGTCTCTTGGCTCTTTTAGTTGACCCTTCCGCAGCTCTCCTCCAGCCCTTTTTCCTCAATCTTTCTTTGCCTCTCCCTCCCTGTGTCTCTCTTTCTTCATAGTCAGCCTCCCTTTCAACCCCTTTCCAGTTTTACAACTTGCCGAGTAGGTTTTAAATACCTTTCCTTGAGCTCTGTGGAGCTTTTGGGATGTTCTATCACGAAGTGTGTTTTGTCAATATTTGGAGAGCCTTTGACTCATGTTTTGGCCACATGTGCCTCAAGCTACCTGCTAACTTAAAGTGTATTTTGTCACTTGCCCACCAAAGTAGAAACTTGCAGTATCACCTGTAGGAAAAGTATAGACTTTAATTTCCTGTGGAAAGAAACAGTATGGAAAGAAACACACGTTTTTATTTAAAACAATAGGAAAAAAATAGGAATAAGCTGTTTCTAGGGAAAAAAAGATGAAGTTAAGGCAAGGTTTTTGCCCTTGTCTGGATTTTCCAGGTAATACTTGGGTAATAGTTCACCATTCTTCCTAATTACAATAAAAAAGTCCTTGTCTTTCTTCTGCTAGATGATGTTTTGCTGGAGATATTCAGTCTGACAAACATAGTCCTTAGTTTTTCTTTTTATTGATTTTATGAGGATGTCTTCTGTTGGATTATTTTTCGTGAATATAAAACTCTCTGGAAAGTGACTCTGATAATAAGTTATATCTATAAGATCAGGATCCAGTGTTTTCACCCTAAAAATAGTTGGGAATTAAGGTTTGAGAGTAATTTAGTGCACCGTTAGGTGCCAAAATGATTTGCTGTGGGTCAGTGAGTAAGCTGACATTTTCCAGGGCTCTTTTTTTCCCTGGCCTAATCATAAAGTAAAGGTCCTATGCAGAGAGAATTACTTTTGTTCCCCCTCAAAATCCAACTCTACCTAAACAGAAATTCTGACCCCATATTTCTACTCTTTGACAGTGTAGCATGGCTTAATGAGCTCAGTAATGGACTGGAACATCAAGGATTATTTGTTAATATAGGGCCTGTAGAAAACTGATGTGATTAATTTATATCTACTATTTTCTCATTAGAAATCATCTCAGAATATCCTTCTCAGTATTGGCATCGGAAGACACTTGCCATCTCACAGCTTAACCGACTTTTCTAATGTCATGTCTGACGTGGCCAAACAATATAGAATTCCTGTAATCAAAGAGCAAACTGGTGCCTTTCAGATTATCTCCTTGGCTGTCAATGTTACTTTAGAGGTGGATCTCATCTGGTGATACTTGAAGGAAAGAGTGCCTTGTCAGGTGTCAGTTGCGAAGAAGTAACATGGAACTCAAAGTTCTGCTTTTTGGATATCCTCCAGACCTAGGTTTGATAAGATTTTAGCCAATACAATCTCATGTGAGAAGGGCTGGTTTTTTATTATGGCAGAGGATGAACAGGACTGGGGCAAATAGAGCCAGGACAAATTTTGGTCACATCTACAC